AGCCGATTGCGATAGCGATGGTCTTGCGCAGTCTTCAAGAGTCTCTTTTCCTTTTTATTTATTGTTATTTTTTTTAGAACTATACTAAGCAAAATAAATTATATTAGTAAAAATAAGAATTTCACGAAAATAATAATGTAAAACATTACAAAAAGTGAGTAAATCTTAGATTTTATTTAAACTTTAGGTTGTTTCTTTTTTTGTGTAAACCGAAACCGAAACTAACTCAAGCAACGTTTCCTTCGTCGTAATTGTTTGCGTGTGAGTGTGTGTGTTTGTGCGCACGCGTGTGGATGCGTCCGCGTGCATGCGCGTGTGCGTTTCTGGTTGTGCGTGCGTGTGCCTCTGCACGCGGGCGTGGGTTTGCGCGTGTGCATGCGTGTGTACGTGCGTGCGCGCGTGTATGTGTGCGACTGCGAGCGCGCAACCGTCTGTTTGTTCGTTCTATTGCACTACGCCCGCAAGAAGGACAATTGGATGTCCCTGGACACTGCTAAAACACTAACTTATTGATTATTATTATTATTATTATTATTAATGGTGTTGTTATTGAAACATAGCCCTGAGACACAGGGCCATAAACTTTTCTATAGCTGGCTGTAGCTGTATCTATAAGTTTTTAAGGCCGACCATGCAAAGCTACAGGGAGTGATAGCCTCCCATTGAATTTCCCATAGACGACCATAGGCCATTTTTTATGGGATGTGTCGGACTGGTTTATTATGGGATTTGCCTCTTTATGTGTGTGAGTTTTTGTGCATGTCACCATATTCTCAAATGAATATTTTACTCCGGTTGACATGGTCAGGAGACAGGTTCTAGGAGCATGTCATGGATATTTGTCAAACATTTTCACAATATTTTGATTTCATGTTGCCAGATATAAACTCGAGACTAACTGGTTTTCTTACTGTACACTTCCATCAATCAATATTTGTAAAAAATGCTAGTATAGAGCATTTCACCCTGCTTTCCGATTCTGAGCATGGAGTGATTTGTAAGAAAATTAAATAGGAACTCATATATAAAATTTTGTTTTCAAACATAAAAATTGTATGCAAAAGAGGCACTTAATTATCAGCTATTTGCATGAATTACAACTGACATTATAAGAAACTAGACTGCTAACAACTGTTGCTTTCACGCAGAAATCTTACCTGTACATTATGTACAGAGCCATATATAAGCTTTCCAAAACCATTTCACATTATTTATTTAGCACCCTCTTCTACACCCTTCTCACATTCTTCACTAAATTTAGGGTGTAACACGAAACAGCACCTTTTTCGGTAAAATTATGAGGTTGTATTCCTAGTTTTAGGGTGTTAAAAAGGTGTAGCCGAGGGTGTAAGTTGCTACAACACCCTTTTACACCCTTAAAGAGGTAAATACTTTTACTGTGTAGTACGGCCGAGCATCGCTGGCGTCAATCACCGCGATAGCGTCAATAGCGTCGCGGCGTTGCCCACCACCCGCCAACAATCACGTTGTTAACAACAAAGCCAGCGTTCTGCACATCTAGGTCGAGATGTTCATTTTCTTTTTCTTTTACGTGTGGCTCGATTTTGAACGTTTCCGTTGCGGTTTTAACCGAAGCTGTTAGCTTTCCTTGGCTCAGGAAATCAGTATCCTAGCACCTAATTAAAACATTACTGAGACTAGCTTAAGTTTAATCAAAATATAAGAGAGGTTTTGTTTAGGCTCTTCCAAAACACAAAGTCTGAAATATCCAATCTTATCCGATTCAAGCACAAGCTGATCGGGGTGCATGGCTAGCGTGGCGGTTTACTAAGCTGAGTGCATTGATACAGCTATAGGTTTTTAAGGTAGAGAAGGGGGCTTATGGTCGGTATACAGGTACACTGGCTGGGTAACGGTGGGTGCGTCTTCCAGGAAAGGGGAGCATCTGCGCCCGATGCACCCGACTACAACTTTTTTTTCTTCGAGTGCAGTTGGGAAGTAAATATGTGAAGCAGTAACCGAAAAATCGCGGATATGGCATTCACGCTAAGAGTGCCGCGCGGCGACAGAGCGGTATAGTTAACGCGAAGATGACGTCGGCGCTGCTTTCGTATTTTATTTTCATAGAACAACGACGGGCACAATATTTTCCCACTTCTAGTATAATGTTCCAAATGAACATATCACACGACAGTGCCTTTGAAGTTTAACGAAAAAAAAAAACTAAATAAAACGGTGATCGTTTGCTTGCGCTAACAGTGTTCGCGCGATGCACGCACTAATATTCAGCAAACCACTCGCTCGCGATGCTTCTTTCGCTGCCCGTCGTTGTGCCAAAGTTTCGTCAACGCGATGAAAGTTTAGATTATGGGTGTCCCTGCGGCGAAACTGAAAATCAGCACTTTTGGCAGAACACTTGTCGGCCATGTTTATGTCCACGGCGGCCAAGCTGAGAATCAGCACTTCTGGCCAAACACTCGCCGGCCGTGTTTATGTTTCCGGCGGCCAAGGTGGAAATCAGCACTGCTGGCCAAACACTTGCCGGCCGTGTTTATGTCTCCGGCGGCCAAGCTGAAAATCAGCACTGCTGGCCAAACACTCGCCGGCCGTGTTTATGTTTCCGGCGGCCAAGCTGAAAATCAGCACTACTGGCCAAACACTTGCCGGCCGTGTTTATGTCTCCGGCGGCCAAGCTGAAAATCAGCACTTGTGGCCAAACACTTGCCGGGCGTGTTTATGTCCCCGGCGGCCAAGCTCAAAATCGCCACTGCTGGCCAAACACTTGCCGACCGTGTTTATGTCCCCGGCGGCCAAGCTGAAAATCACCATTGCTGGCCGAACACTTGCCGGCCGTGTTTATGTCTCCGGCGTCCAAGCTGAAAATGAGCACTTCGGGCCAGGCGCTTGCCGGCAGTGTTTATGTCTCCGGCGGACAAGCTAAAAACAGCTAGTTTGTGGCCGGACCCTTGCCGGCCTTGTTTATGTCTCCGGTGGCCAAGCACTTAAAGTGTCCAAGCTGTCCAGACACTGGCCAACCGTCGGCCGATGGAAATTCACTTTCTGGTGCTGCTTGGGATACGACTGCTTTTACATTGCATGCGATCTCTCATACATATAACGCAAAGGACGACGCACTGACACACCTCCTGCCCACGTACTGTGCGATAATGAATTCTTCCGTTATCCCACGAGTCGTTCGGTTGGTGACACGCCAACCGAAGGACTCCTGAGATAAAGGCAGCGTCGTAACTAGTTCTGCAGCGTTATTTGTGGCACACCCAGATGCATTGAAATGAGGCACTATATGTCCACGTGGCGATGACTTAATTGCCAACCTGTGCACCCGGAATATATTGTTAATGCATCTGACCGACTGATTGATTTGTACTTTGCTTCATGACAAAAAGATTTCGAATACAATTCTACAAAACTTGAAAGTATAAAACGAAGAGGACGAGGACGGGAACAGGACATTTTCTTGAAAGATGTCCTGTTCCCGTCCTCGCCCTCTCTGTTTTATACTTTCAAGTTTTGTATCTATTAACCAACACGCTCGGTTTCAACTGTAATACAATTCCCATTTTGAAATCTACCAACCTGTTCCTGTGTTTCGTTTTCCAATGTACCACAGGCCTTCCAACCTGCGCAATATTTCCACACTACTTTTACAGTTTTTAGGTGCAGAAAACACCACTGGTTCACTGTGTCTCTCAACCTCCTTTTTCATGCGGTGTCTGACATTATGTAAGTATAGAACTAACACAGCTCTGAAAAGACTCTGGGGTGGCGGAAGAACACTTCAGAGGCACAGGACGAGAATCATACATTTTGGTAGTACCATACTTACACAAAATCAGCCACCAGATAAATAAGGTTGCAAGAAAAGTGTGCGCCAGTCGTGTTCTTTTCGCCTAAAGAAGTGAAAGCATTGTGCAAACATAACCGGAGAGAAGACCTAAGGTACGTTGCGAAAAAAAACACACAAATACAAGTTTGTAGAATGCGAAGTAGGAATTGTATACAAAATCCCGTATTCGTGCAGAGACATATGTATTGGTCAATCGGACAGATCTGTGAACGAACGATATTGGGAGCACGCGTTGTCAGTTAATTTATCGCTCAGTGGACATTTCGTGATGCATTTCACTGAATGAGGGTGTGTACCGAAATTTGCTGAAAGAGAGGTTATGACGGGACACGGCAATCAAAGAACTCGTGAGATAACGGAAGCCTTTATTATGACACATCACGAGCAAGGCATGGCTGTCAGTGCACCGTCGATGGCGTTATATAAAAAAGTGGTCGCATATCTTGTACGGGCTGAAGCAGCAATGTATTGGCATGTCTAAGATTACACGGGTCTATATTTATTCTAAGGAAAACCAGTTGTGAGTAAGCGCTTGGTTTGTCCAATTCTTTGACTCCTCCGTTTTGTTTTTATTTTTCTCCCTGTTTTTAGTCGAGAGGCATCAACAAGAACCTCTATTTTGTGCTAACTAAATACGTAAACCTTGGATGCATCTTAAAACGTGCCCAGCGGATGACATACTGCAGTGTAAAAAATAAATATAAAACCTTTAATTCAAATTTACTGTTACCTATGTTTAATGCAAAAATCGCGATATAGAGCCCGAAACACAGTCTCACATCCAACCATTGTTTTCTCATCGCCTTTTGCCTCATGGTGAACATTACATAAGATAAACATAATCCGCTGGGGGTTGAACCTTTAACAAGTCATAGCTCTTTTGACTCCCTGCATCTCTTGAAGCGTTTGACCTCTTGACACACATTGGATATCTTTACCTTTTTTCACCTTATGACTCATATTGAAGATCTAGATTCGTTCAATGTATTGACTCGAATAATCTCTTAATACAAATGTCATGTGAGCCTGATCTATTGACCCGAAGCGTTTAAAGGAAGAACTACAAAGCCCGGATGTTTTCTTTTTATTATTTTTATGCGCATATCTCAACACAGTGCCATAGTGTGTAACAGCCTGAAACCTGACAAAAACCCTTCCTTCTCGTTTTCAGCGACATCAAGAAGGGGGCGATGGAAATATTGGAGCGCACACGCGCGGCCATACGCAAGGTGGTATCCTGCGATGTGGTGGAGCCTGCAGTGCTCCCGGTGGAACATAAGGAAACCTTCGACGTCGTTCTTTCCTGCGGATGCCTGGAATCGGCAGCAGCCGAGCACGAATCATATCGAAGGGTGGTTTGCAACGTGGCAACAGTCGTGAAACCTGGCGGTCTGCTTGTTATTTTGGGTGTGGGTGGTTTAAAACAGTATTCCGTGGGAACCGCTGATTTTACTCTCGCGAACATCACAGGAAATGTAGTGAACGAAGCCGTGACAGATGCTGGCCTCCAGATAGATCTATACCGACCCCGAAAAATTGGGCGTTTCTCGGGAAGTTCAGACGTATTCACGTTTTACCTAGTGGCCCGCAAGGCATGATTAAACAAATCTGCACTTTATTTCGTGCAACGTACATTATTTTGACCCTTTTCTGCTTTCTTACACTTAATATTCGTACCTGCGGAAATAAAGCTTTGAGATTTGCATTTTCCACTGTGAAGCGCTTTGAAGTCAAATAAATTTTTCACTAGTTCAAGGTTAAATTAGAGCGAAAGACTCTCAGAAATCTAAATCTTTCAAGCTTGTAAAGACAATCCCAGGACGCACACCATCATGGGCCAAGGGCCAACTGTGGCCAATATTGGGTATCGCAGGTATAGCCTTGACGGGTGAACGCGATGTCTGACTGTCACACGTTCGTCCGGGGTTGGTAAGAAAAAGGTCGGGAGACAGAGAATTAGAAAAAAAAAGCCGGGCATATATTTGCACACACAAAAGAATATCAGTATGGAAGGAAAAAAAATGCAACAAGACCACAAGTAAAGTCCCAAGAAAGAAATACGCAGTTCAAACTACGGGGCTATCATCCTAGAGATTCACCGGCATATGTCGTGACGAGGCTCGGTTCCTGGCTTCTGTAGACGCTCAGTCCAGGGACGGTGTTAAGGTGGCGTAGATACTCATACCTCCGCTGTTCGCTTCACACCGTGCGTAGCGGCGGGTTCTGGTTCATGGCGTCGATACCGGGACACTGCCGGCTAGATCCTTCAAAGCGCTGCCGAACGTCGTGGCTCGTGCTCTTCACGCACCTTTCTCGCACCCGTCACTTCGTCCTACACGTTCTTCCTTCCACAGAACTATGACACCCCCCAACTTTAAAAAGTTTAAAACATAAGCTTTTCTTTCTTGATGCCTGGTACTTCCGAGAACTCCATCCTGACGTCACCGAGCACAAGCCACCCCCACAATCCTCCTACACGACACTTTCACAACACGACCTTCTCAATGACCTTACCACGACGTCCGGTTACACGGCAACACACTTGGCCGGAGGGCCATTTCTTTTGAGAGAACTCACTGTAGTCACACACGTACGCAAAAGCCCCGTCTTAAGTCTGACAAAAGACATTGGTACACATATAACACAAAAAGAAATATACATTGAGGGAACCCATCCTCTTCCGGGTCTCGACTAGTTATCCCTAACAAAAAACTTAGTTTAAAAGAAAAATAAACTACTAAAGGCGGCTTAGAAAGTCTGCTCCCACGTTATCCCTGCCCTTTATGTATTCCACGTGAACGCTATGATCCTGCAAAGCCATACTCCACCTCGATCATCACTCGCCTAGGGTGCCTTCATGCGCGCTTTGCCTAGGGTGGTGGCATCTCGCCATTTTGTCACACAGCTTTATTTTTATTTTTTGTTGAGAAGCGCGTGAAATAGCGTGTCCCTGCACGCGCTTGTGGCGCTGACTGTGCTATGGCGACATTTTGTTTTCGTCGATTTCTTTGTATTTCGCCCGTGAGCGCGTGCTGTCGGCATCTGGTACTACAAAGTGTGGCATCACCCTAAACAGAAGGACATTGAGGCACCCTACACTCGCCTATTTGTATGCTTAGCTTTGTTTAGGAATTCAAGTGGTTGGTGGTCGGTCTGAACCCGAAATGTTCTGCCGTACACTGGCAACGTAAATCTGGCAACGGCCCATACCAATGCCAGACATTCCTTTTCTATCGTTGCGTAGTTCGTTTCTGCGGTGTTGAGCTTTCTACGGGCGTTCGCCACGGGATGTAGCATTCCATCCTTTTCTTGAAGCATCACTGCACCCAGACTCGCGCCAGACTCGTCTGTCCTTAGTACGAACTCCTTCTCGGGGTCGGGCGCCAACAAGATGGGAGGATGTCCCAGCTTGGTCTTTAGTTCTTATAAGGCCTCCTTTTGCTGCGGCCCCCAATCAACCTCATTGCAGGCTCCTTTTTTGGTGAGGTCTACTAAGGGCGCGGCAAGACAAGCATGGTCCTCTAAGAACTCGCGGTAGAACCCCATGAGTCCAAGGAACGATCTCACTTGTCGCTTCGTTCGCGGTCTTGGTACGTCTTGAATCCGTTCAATGGTCCCTTGATATCTTTCCCTTTCCGATCTCGTGCCCCAGAAAGCTGATCTCCTTAAAGCCCACTTTACATTTCTTTAGCTTTACGGTAATATTAGCCTCGCGCAGGCGCCTACAAATACAGCGAAGCGTGTCAACGCTCTCTCTCCATGAGCTTGTGGCGATCAGGATGTCGTCGATGTAGTGGTGTGCATCTGGGATGCCATCTAACAATTTTCGCATCATTTTCCTGAATGTCGCAGAAGCCGTTCTTAAACCAAAGGGCGTGACCTTGAATTGGTAAAGCCCACTCGTCGAAGAGAAGGCAGTCTTTTCCTTGGCCTCTTCTTTCATAGATATCTGCCAATACCCTTTTGCTACATCGAGCTTCGAGAAGACGCGCTTCTGTCCCGCCTTAGCAAACGTGACGTCGATCCGTGGTATTGGTACTGCGTCGGGCTTGGTCATGTCATTGAGCCTCGTATAGTCAATGCAAAACCTGTTTGACCCGTCTTTTGTCTTTACCATTACCACTGACGCGTTGTATGACGAGGTACAACTCTCAATCACGTACAGCTCCAACATATCGTAGATTTCTTGCTCGACTGTTTCCTGAACCGACAGCGGCAGTTTGTACTGCTTCACATGTATTGGTCGGGACGTGGTCAGTTGAAGGTCCCAGGTCAGCAGACTCGTCCTGCCTGGAAGGTTCGAAAATATATCTTTAAAGTCCTAAATCAGCTCTCTTACCTCATCACGCTTTTGGAACTCCAAGTGTTCGTTTATGTTGACGTCTTCCCATCCTTGCTGCCTCGTCCAGCTTGGCGTAGGAATTCCCTCTGTATCTTCAAAACTTAGCTCGCTTGCGACTTCATCTTTCTCTTGAGAATTCATTGCCATACCGCAATGTTGTCTACCTTGTTGACTTCCTTCTCTTTCTTCTTATCTTTTCAGCACATTGATGTAAAACACCTTCTTTTTGCCTCCTACGTCTAGCTCGTAATCCACCTCATTCTTTCTTGCGACTACGGGAAAGGGACCTTTCCATTGCATGATCATCTTGTTTAGATCGGTGGGGAGCAGAATGAGCGCCAGGTCTCTTTGCTTCTTATTTCGGTTGCAGCTCTTCCTGTCATAGTATCTCTTATACTTCTCCCTTGCTCCATGCAGGCATACGTGCGCCAGCTTGCATGTTTCCTCTAGTTTTTCCCTTAGCTCCAAGATGTATCCATATGCCGTCTTCATGTCTTCCTTCAGGGCTTCGTTCGACGACACCTCTTTGAGGAGGACCAGCGGTCCTCGTTCTCTTCTCCCGTACAGCAGTTCAAATGGCGAGAACCTGAGGCTTGCCTGGGGCACCTCTCGGTAGGCGAAAAGCAAAGCTGGGAGATATCTATCTCAATCCTTTTGTCTTTCTTTGCACATCCTCCTTAGCATCTGCTTAATGGTGCCGTTAAACCTCTCGACCAGGCCATTGATGATGGGATGCTAGGGAGTGGTTAAGAGTTGCTTCATCGACGGAAGCCGGCTCACCTCTCTCATTAGCTCAGAGGTAAAGTTGGTGCCGCGATCGCTAAGGATCTCTGCCGGTACTCCATGCCGCGTGAACATCTGAACCAACGCCTCGGCCACCCGCTGGGATCCAATGCTTTTCAACGCTACAGCGTCATGATACCTTGTGGCCATGTCAACCATTGTAACAATATACCTGTTCCCCGAGCTTGCGATAGGCACTATATCTATCGCAACTCTTTGAAAAGGTGTCTCGATGATTGGCATGCTTCCTAAGGGGGCCTTGCCCACCGTGCCTTTGGGTACGGTGCGTTGGCACACGTCACACGAACGAACATATCTTTTGATTTTGCTTTGCATACATGGCCAAAATAGCTCTTCCGCCACCAGATTGAGGGTATTTTTCGCCCCCTGGAGCCCAGACATAACGTTGTCATGTGCCATAGTTACAGCAGCGGCCCGGAAGCTTTTTGGAAGAACCAGTTGTTCTGATCTTCTGTCGGATGAGTATACGACACTCCTGTATAAAAGATCTTTCTTCAACTATAACTGAATCCTTGTCCTGGAATTGTGTTTTTTGTTGGTTTCCCCACATCGTTCAAACACTTCGTAAGAGTAGCGTCCCCTTTCTGCTGCTTTCCGAGTTCCTTGGCTGTCGTGTCGGTTACTGACACCTGCGCGACTTTCAGAGGGCGTTCTAGTTTTCCTATTGTTCTTCCAGCTTCTCTCCCCTCACTCGCGGACGCAGCTATGGCTGGTTTCTCATCCGGCAGCTCGTCGATGCTCTCGATTGATTCCATTGCCCTGCGACAGCCCACGTTGACTCCGATGGCGTTCGAACACGTTTCGCATCTCTCCTTCGGCTTGTCTAGGCAGTCGCCAAGATTGTCTTCATTGTTATGTTACCATTCTGGGTCAGGGTCATTAGCCTCAAGCATTTACGGTATGTTTCCCAGTATCAAGTCGTATAGGAAGTTACTGACGCACTTCGCCGTTACTTTTCCCCTGTAGTAGGGCATTTGTATCACAATAACTGCCTCCGGCAGGTACCGAACTCTTCGATCTCATAAAAACACAGGACTCAACTTTCCAGTTAGGTTCTCTTGAGGGACTAGTTCTTTGCGAACAACAACGGTGTTGCAGCCGGTGTCCCTTAACACTGTTATCTTGTGTTCTCCCAGTCGTCCTTCCACTACCGGCATGTGCTCCGACAGAAATTTCGGGGCTCTTCCTATGACCGCATTCACTACCGGGATCTTGTCCCCATTATCCAGAGTGACGTAGGAGTCGTCCGCGTCGTTGCAATTATCTGTTGACACCGTGTACAAGCACTACACCTGATGTTTCTCGCTCTGCATTCCCTTGCAGTTCTCTGCCTTGTGACCACTACGGCCGTAATTCCAACATGCCAGTGAGCTCATAGCTTGGCCGTTACTTCTGCAGTTTCCTGCCTTGTGCCCAATCTTCCCACAAAGGAAGCAGCGGATACTCTTTCGG